AAAAAAAAAAAAAAAAAAAAAAAAAAAAAAAAAAAAAAAAAAAAAAAACAAAAACACAATAAAAAGAGAAGAATAAAAGTACAAATGCTGAAAATACAGATAATTGTGTGGACTCTCAGAAGATTTAATGTCAGTTGTTTTCAAAAGCCTTTAAAATTACACCAATCCATCAATCATTAATCTGTGAGTGCAAATATGCATATACCTCTACCCATGCCATGGGTGTACATGTAGAGGTCGGGGGGACAATTCTGGGAGTCAGTTTTACCATATCGGTCCCAGAAATTCACTTCAGATCATCATGTGTGGTGGCAGATGTCTTTACCTGCTAGGCCATCTCACCTAAATTAGATTTTTATTAATTAAAATTTAATTTTTACTATTATTTATGTGCACAGATGTTTTATTTGCACATATATCTGTGCACTGTATGCATACATGGTGCCCAAGGAGCCAGAAGAAGGTGTTGGATCCCCTGGGACTGCAGTTATAGACAGTTGTAAGTTACCATGTGGGTATGGGGAATTGGAACCCGGGTCCTCTGGAAGAACAGTAATGCTCTCAACCACTGAGACATCTCTCCAGCACCCCTAAATAAGTTCTTAATGCCAAAAATTCTAACGCACAAACAAACACAACACAAAACAAAAAGCCCCAAATCAGAAACAACCCACAAAGTTCCTGTACACATTTCATCTGAATGCCGGTGAGAAGGGAGAGCAGAGCATTCAGTGTTTGTTTGTTTGTTTTGTTTCTGTCTCCCCCAACGCCCCACCCCGCCTTTCACACCATCAACTCAAAAGTTCTACACAATGTAACTCTTTGTTTCTCCAGTTATACACACTAGAGGTTCTGGAATGTCCCTTAACAAACTTTAAGGAGGATGGAGAAGGGGAATAAGAATGGGCGGCTTTGGGGCCAAGTCAAGGGGAGGGAAGCTCTACATGGATTCTTTCCTTCTGGAAGGAATCGGTACTCCTGATGGAACTCAGGATGGACTTTCAGAGCCGAAGGCAGGACCTCAGTGGCACTGAGCCTGCATATCTGAATCCTAGTATACTACTAGTTTCATTCCACTTGAGGGCCCAAGAGGAGGATGAGGATGAACGAACAGGAGGCATTGAGCTTGGTTGAGTACACAAACGTCTTCTACAAGAGTCTACTAAAGGTAAGAGCTCCCAGAATAGCAGCACTTAGCCTCTTTTGAAGAAACTGGATTTTCCCCTTTTGTGAGAACTAGGAATTGTGTGTCGCTTTTTTTTTTTTTTTTTAAATATATCCTGGTTACTAGAAAAGTCAGAGTGAAACTTGATACTGAACACAGACCTCAAGTGACATTTCACATTTTCTCCTTTCTGTGAACCTGAACATTTTATGCACAGTATATGTGCTCTTTGTTGTAAATTGAAAGATGTGCTTCTGGAATTGGGGTATAAACAAAGAAGAAAATGAATGAGTGAGTGAATGGTAAAAGAAAGAGAAAAAGAAAAAGGATTACAATGACCCCCTTATTGGTGTTAGTGGAGACACACCTTCCTTCCCTCCTCCAGCCCTGTTCATCACTACCTCTTCTGGCAACTAATATCCACAGCTCACAGAAACCTTAGCGATTTCAGTGAACGAAGTTAGCTGGCTGTGACACAGATGAGTTCTTCTCTGAGAGTTCATTAAAGAGATTAAAGAGTGCCGTTGCTAAGGGCAACGTCATGTGTTTAGACTCTCATCAAGGGAGAGAACAGCAATCCAAAGGGTAGCATCCCAAGGTCGCAGCAACTACGATGTCCCTGATTCTTCACCATTAAGCCACGCTAATTTGCTGCCAATCCAGAATGCAGTGGCTTGCACGGCCTTTCTTACCCTCAGCCACCCCTTTCGCTAACATGAAACAGAACTTTTCAGTGACTACTACGTCGGTTACGTTGCCTTAAATGTCACATGATTTTCAGGAGTCCTGGGTGCTGGTCCCAGAACACCAGCAAGTCAAATGATGTTGGGCGGCCTTCATCAAGTTTTTGTGCTTCTAAACTGTGATTTATAAAAATGAGGGACAAGACTCAGTGGTCATGAAATCAAATACTGTGGGATTCTGTGTCAATAATGAAGGCCACTCCAAAATCCCTGCTTTGTATACCTTTAAAACCTTTTATCCATCACTAAAAATTTTCTTTCTTCATCTGAGGGACTAGAACATAACTCGCTCACACTTCTGCTTCTACTGAGGATTCCAGTCCACTCTTTAGTCTGAGTTTTGAGTTTTTCTTGGTTTAATTCTAACTTAAACTTTGGCTTAAACAAATCTCCCTTTTTCATCCTTGTGTACCCAGCATTCTTCCCATTTCTTCCCATGAATTCCGAGAAGCTCCGTGCCGGCTCCTACCAGCAATCCAAATCAACAGTTCTGTTCTTTTTCTCTACCTCATAAACGGGCACTGATAGGAAAATACCATTAGCTGTTTGCTTGGTCTTTGGCTGAGAGCATTTTTAACACATAATGTAGATAACTGTGTGAGGGCCAGTGTGGACAAACTGCAGGCTGCTGGGTATGGAAGGTATGTTGTTGGGCACAAAATTCCAACCCTGCTCTCCCTGAAGTACAAGAATCTTATTCTTCGCCTTTTAAAATATTTGCCTTGTGTTTATACAGTGTCTGTGTGTTTGCGGAGCAGGTTCACTGGACGCTTTTCATGGGCTCTGAGGGGTTTTGCATTGATTGGAACGAACTGGAGAGGTCATTTTAGTTCAACATGCCACATAGGACAGGAGCATCATGGGAATGTTCTTGATGCTTGCTCACCTGTTTTTCAACCTTCAGAGGCAAAAATGAGTGAGTGCTCAAAAATATATGCTTCTGAGGCCTACCTCAACTTTCCAAGAGCCTTATTTTTAAGGAGAAATTTCCCAGGTAGCCCCCAGATCTCTTTCCCTGTGACTTCTGCGCGCGAATCAAACCCAGTTGCCAGGAGCAACTGAGATCACTGAAGTCGCCTGGGGTCTGGTTCCCAGTACCACACCAGCGACTCTGTGATTGAAGAGTCAATTATCACACTAATCTATACCAGAAATTAAATATATGTGTGTAGGGGTTGCTGTGGCCCACGGCTATACCATAACCACAATATTGTCAGGAGACAAGGGGCACAGGTCATTGGATACAGCTCCTAAGTCTGTCCTTGAAAAGCACTATTACCAGTTAAGAGAAAGAATGGGCCGTGAATGTTCTCTTTTATCCTGATCGCAAAAGTACAAGCGATTCATATGGCAAGGTCAAACAGATACGTGATTTCTGTGTCACTTTCTGCACTGGGTGAATTAGTATTTTGACATTTCAATCCCGATTACAACAGCACACCTTTTAATTCTCTCTAGCGAGTGAAAGAAGAGTACTCATGGTTTTCCTGATTTCACAGTTCTACTCTATTTTCAAGTATTTTAAAAGGATCAGTCTTTCAAAACACCCAGTGGCTGCTCACCTCTCCGGATAATATCTCAGTTCCCTAGCATGGGTCTCTACAGCAACCCTGGGAATGTCCTTTCTCCCACCCAACTACTCTTTCCTGGCTCTTGGATATAGATCTCCACACGTGATGCTTCTCGCCAGAGGCTGCTCCACAGAGTAGCCTGTCTTCATCAGGGTACCATTCCCCAGGACACCATTTCCCAGCTTGGTGCACTCCATCACGGCCTTCCTGTTCTCATCAAGGGCCATCTCGCCACACGCCCCTAGCGAATAGCTTGCCCCTTCTCATCCCCTTTCCTCAGTCATCTCCTCAAACACCAAACTGTTGTGCTCGATGCTATGTCCCCAACAGTGACACACTGGCTACCGTCACGCAAAATACATATACAGTTTGTTGAAAATAGGATTTAAAGAGAAGACAGCCTTGTCTGGTACTAGTCTTGTTTTCTGTCCCTTTTTATTTTCCAGCTGAGGAGAAAGCAAGAGCCTCACTGCAGAGCCTCAAGGAACAAGGGTGTTCTGTCTCCTCTCGCCTCTACGCTTTGGCTAAAGGGGAAAAAGTTTCCACTTTCGTCCTATGGATCGTGTGAAAAAAGGCTCTGTATGAAGTGTCCACAGTGTGTGCACAGACACCGGCAGCTAGCAGGGTGTAGCCCCGGACTGGTTGGGCTCCTCATAAATTATAAATGATTTATGATGTCCTTCTGGGCACGGCGTGACAGCCATGGAGCCCGCATTCAAGCGAGGGCAGAGCATATGCCACCAGCTCCTTTCAGTGGATGCTTGGCCAGGATTTCCTGGTACTCTGGAAGTATGTGGGAGAGAAAATCATCGTGTGGTCAACAAGCCACTTGTGTTTTCTCTTGGCAGGGAAAGAGGGTCCTAGTGCTTGATTCTAACACCGTTTAATGACTGGACAAAATAGAAGAGTAAACAGGAGACCCGAATAAGCGTGCCTTGTTATCTTCCCGGTTCGGAGTCATGAATGGGCTTGCTGTAAAGCTGTGACAGAAACACAGAAAAGCGCTTGTCCTATCTTGGAAGTGTCCTATAAGACCCAGCTTGGCTTGGCTCCTCTTCAGTAACAGTGAAGGGAAACAGAGTGGTGGAAAATGGCCTCCTTTCTGAAGGACCCTTCAGAAAGATGAAGGTAGCCTAGCCCATTTAAAGGAATAACCACCTATGCTATCCGATAACACAGTCACAAAACCTTCCAAAACATCTTAAGAATGTAAAGTGGAGTAACAAAGCCAAAATCCCCACCTAAAAACTCACAGGGGTCTGGCTATTTTCTTGTTCATCCAATGATACCACTCCTGCACTCAAACCTCCAAAGAGCTCAGCAGGGGCTGATCTCCTCAGAACAGCAGCTCTCCTCTACCACTGGCCACACCAACCTTATCTGTTCCTCTTTCCTCCCTCCCTCCCCTGCGTCTCCCCCTACCAATGCCAAGGTCAAGCTTTACTTAACATTTTCTAAGCATCTCTTTCTTCTCTTCGGCAGCGTCCCCGTAGTTAACTGTTTCTTCATTCTACACTAGATGGCTTCCCTAATCGCTCTGTGGTGAAATCATCTCCAAACAGCCCCCTGTGCAGGGCCCTCTCACCACTTCAGATACTTTCAAGAAAATCTTTATACTGAAGTAGGTTACCCGCTGACCTACATACAAAATGGCGTGGTAACTGGTATCCTTTAGGTTCATCTGGAGGCAATGACTTACACCAAGTAAAGTGCATAGACTGGTACCTGGAATCTAGAGGGTTTTCAAACAAAACTAGCACTGATATCTGTGCTCTAGAATGAACCACATGTACCTTGCTCACTGCTAAACTTGTGTGTGTGTGTGTGTGTGTGTGTGTGTGTGTGTGTGTGTGTGTTGTTCATATTTGCACAACCCTAGTGGATACCCTGACGCTTTATCCTTGTAATATACAAAATGTCATACCGCACAGTGCAGTTATTAGGAATCTCAATGTCTTTTATTTGGACCAGGGAGAAAAGGGGTGCTGAGAGTGGAAAGGCATGTCTAGCATAGTTATTTATTTATTTATTTATTTATTAGAAATAGTCATTTATTTTCTCCCATTTAGGAAATTATTCCCCCTGCTCCCATGCTTTAATGCCTATTGTTTGTAAGGTTAACATCCTCGGGCTCTGGGCTTCATGGCACTCTGGTGATTGGTCCAGAGAGGGACATCCGCTCAAGCTGCACCTATAAGATCAAGCCCAGGAAATTGGTTGGAACAATAAGAAATACAAGCTTTATCTTTCTTCTGGAGCTGGAACAACTAGCCTACTATGATGCTAGAGTTGCTGGTGACTGCTTTGCCTTCACAAGAAAAGAGTTCAAGTTTAAAAAGAAAAGAAAACAAAACAGGAACATAGACTCAAAGACGGAGGAAAGGATTCGCAACCATAGCTTTTAAGTATCTGTATCTCATGGGGCCTGTAGGTTGTATTCCCCTGGGATTTTTTTTGGTCCTATCAATCAATGAATTGTTTCCTTCAGCTATTATGATTCAGAAGCAGAAAAGAGCTTTGCCCAACCAGAAGATTTTTACATTGAATTTCCTTCCAGCAGAGATCAAAGACTCTCTATGCTTGCAGAGTAGAAATAGGAAAGAAGAACTAAACAGGCCCCTCTTCCTGCCTTAGTTTGCAACTCAGAAAGGCCTTAAGAAAGAGGAAGATGGAGAGAGACCTTGGAGATTGGGAAATTAGTGTCTCAACTTCCCCCAAAGAAACCTGATCATAATCATCTATTTTATTTGTCATCTAGAGAACATTTTTAAGGCCCGTCCAGTATCCCAGAAGGATGGGTAAAGCAACTATTTTTATTTTCCTCATGCAAACGAGGGTTTGAGACTTGGAGAGGCTAAAAACATTTCCAAGTCAAATTGCTAGGATCTGGCTGAACTCAGGCACACCTAACAAAAAGACCATCGTTGCTTTCCCCAGTCTACAGTGATGGTTACACAGAATTCAGCTCCCCTAAGAGCACGTGGTGCCTCCTCGTTCTCCTTTAAGGTATCAGATAGAATAGCTCTTACACATCAGCTGTAAGTAGATAATTTTTAGGCAGTATGACCATATCATAATTCAAATGACGAAGTGCTAAGGTAAAAATGATCCCTGGGGCTGGTGAGATGGCCCGGTTGGCAAAGGCATTTGTGCATCATATTTGGTTGCATGATCCCACAGACCCACATGGTGGAAGGAGGGAATTGACAAGTTGTCCTCTGACCTCCACATGCATGTCATAGAATGAATGCCTCCTCCCTAAATAAGTAAATGTATTCAATTTCCATTTTAAAATGCTTACTCTCCTCATGTCTCCTGCCTACTTCAACCTAACCGCATCCTAATTCTCCAAGCAACTGACTTGCTTTTGAAAATGTGTGTGTACGCGTTCGTGTATATGTTTGTAGAGGCCAGAGGATAACCTCAGGGGTCTTTCTCAGTAACACCATCTAACCTCTTTGAGACGTTGGCCTGGAGCTCACAATTAGGCTAGGCTGGCTAGAGAGCCCCAGAGATCCTCTCATTTCTGCTTCCCCAGAACTTGGCATTCCATTACAGGTCCTGGAGACATGACTTAAGTCCTCAAGGCACAGCTGATCTCAAGCTCTGGTTAACTAAATCTCAGTATTGAAAAGGAGTTTCAGGCCGGGCGGTGGTGGCGCACGCCTTTAATCCCAGCACTCGGGAGGCAGAGCCAGGCGGATCTCTGTGAGTTCGAGGCCA